ACAGATTTAGGTAGTACATAAAAAAATTAATAACTTTTATTTAAAACTTTTTTCAATTTATCAACAGATGGCGCTGTAATTCAAAATTTAAGAAAAATGGGTTTCCCTGTAAAATGTATTATTTGAAACGTTTGAAAAACAAAAAATAACAATAAATCAACAATATTCGGCTCTGAAAACAATTTATAACAAATGTTCGAAATGTCGTCCTTCCATTTCGACACCAAGTGGAGCACCAGCGTCCCTGGTCGGTAAACGTTTGGTGCGGTACCTTTGGCGAACGGCATTAAATGGTGAAAATTACCGGAATTTTCTAGAAAACGATCTGCCCGACTTCTTCCTGTGGGGTTACTTGAAAGAAAAAGTTTACGCTGCAATTCCTACAACTCGGGAGGACATGGTGGAGCCAGAATTCATTACCCGCATTCAAAAATGTGTCGAAATAAAAGGATGACATTTTGAACATTTGTTATAAATTGTTTTCAGAGCCGACTATTGTTGATTTAATGTTAATTTTTGTTTTTTAAACGTTTCAAATAATACATTTTACAAGGAAACCCAATTTTCTTAAATTTTGAATTACAGCGACATCTGTTGATAAATTGAAAAAAAGTTTCAAATAAAAGTTATTTATTTTTTTATGTACTACCAAAATCTGTAAAAAAATCGGGTCATTCCATTCGACTTTCTAAAGTTACCCCCCGTTTCACCCTTAAGAAGGGGTAGGGGGTGGCTAGCACTAGTACCAAATAATGTCCCCTTTGGTCACATTAACCTTTTATTTAAAACATTTTTCTGTGAAATGCGTATTTCACGAGATATTGAGCTGTCTCAAGTTAAAAGAAACACCTATTATAGGTGTAAGTATATACACATAAAAAATAATATGTGCCAAGACCACACTAATAAAGTAAGACTTTTTACGCCGAAAATGTTGCGCATTTGAATCAAATGGTTGGATCTATGTGGAGTAGTTACATCTAGTATTATATAATAAAGTAAGACTTTTTACGCCGAAAATGTTGCGCATTTGAATCAAATGGATGTGGAGTAGTTACATCTAGTATTATATAATACTAGATGTAACTACTCCACATAGATCCAACCATTTGATTCAAATGCGCAACATTTTCGGCGTAAAAAGTCTTACTTTATTAGTGTGGTCTTGGCACACATTTTTTTTTTATTTCTATATAAAAAAATATAAACGAATTCGTATTTCATTCCAAATAATTTTTGTATTCATACTTAGGTACTTTTACCACGAGAGAAACGAGACGAGACGAGAGGAAGGCACTCTCGAGCGAGAAAAGAGTATTCTCGACGAGACGAGAGACCCATTTTCTCTCGCTGCACGAGACGAGACGAGAGAAGGACTTTTCTCGTCTCGTCTCGTCTCGCGGCATCACTAGTTATGTTCAATATTTTTTAAACTATTTAAATCGTTTAAAAACCGAGGTTAAGTACCTACATTCATACTAGGGGGGAATTTAATTTTTTTTAAAATTATACTAAAATACGTAATGTTCTATAACAAGTAAAAAGAATTTGGTTATGTTTGGAATTTTTATTTTTGCATACACTTCATTCGTAAATCTTGACACGCCTATTATCCCAATATAGCATTTACCCTACCGAGAACATTTATCGATTTTAAAAGTCATTCTTTAGGAATAATTTTTTTTCAACAGTATGGATTTTTTTAGTGACTTATATTCACAATAGAACTTTTACACTGATTTTCGACATCATGTCTCAACCCCATTTATAGTAATTCGGCAGAAAAGTGTATTTTATAGATTGTTTTTGACATTTAAATAAAAAAAAATATTATAATTTGCTACAACCTAAAATAAAAAATTAATGATTTTTTATAAAAGTTTATAAACAAGTTGCATACTATATTTTTTACGACAAATAGGTATTATTATAAAAAATATTATAATATTGTACCAATTAATTTAAATATTTGTAAAGAGCGACATCTGTACAAAAATGAAGTAGCCAAAATTGGTTTTAGGAATCTGTTTTACCGGCTTTTAAAATGTCAGTGTCAGTTCGTCAAATTTTTCTGTAAGAATTAAAAATTTAAACCTGAAAAATTCACTAAAGCATCTTAAATCTTATATAGAAGCTGTTTTTTACAGTAAAAGTGGGTACACCAACCGAAATATAGACCAGGTGGAGAAATCACATATTATCGCCGAGTATACAGACTACGTGTGAGAAAATCAATCTCAGAAGACAAACAAATAAAAATAGTCGGTTCCAATAATCCACAACAATCGACGGCGGCAACTGTTAAGAAATATTTAAAACATAACAAATTTTATCCCTTTAAAACAACGGATTAGACGTGAAACTGCGAATATTACACAAGAAACTATTGCAAATATTATAACTGAAATTATTAACAGATTATTGTTGTGTCTAAATATCTAAGGGGAGCATCTAATTTGATGGTACTTGAGCTTTTCATTTAAAATTTTTGATACATAAGTGTTATAATATGAAAATTATTGTACGCTTTTAGACTATGTAGCAAACCTTGAAATTAACACTTTAGACGCGTTACCGAAATGACGATTTAAAGACTCTTCAACATATGGACATAATATGTTTATCAAGACGTTCACTATTAATTTTATGGTATGATAAAGACATTAATTTTAATTGGTTGTTAAAAATAAATATAATAATAGTGAACTTTTATTTACTTGCTACTGTGTAATACAATGCAACTGTTAAATTAATTCGCTTTAATATCCAAAGACATAAAATAGAGACACATCTGCAGCTTAAACACTTTTTAAACGAAATACCACACAATAAATCCAAATTGAAAATTCGCCATGGACCATTAAAAAGATTTAAATCAGGATTTGGAACAGTATTTTTCCACATTTGTCACCGAACAGAAGCGCTATGTCTAATGTTTAATTGCATTTATTTATGCATAGGTTATTTAAAATTTAATGTTCTTCTTCAGATGCTAAATGCTAAATAACATTGTTTGCTTCACGCTGAATTTTAAACGTAATGGGGTTTAATATCATATTTAACGATTGCTTGAACTTTTGTATTTCATAAACACGTAGCAAGATTTGTCGTTCAAATGTGTTTTTAATTGTTGGATATGTTTTATCAAGGGTAGTGGAGGCTTTAGAAAATAGACATGGATGGCGCAGTCATGATAATATTACATTTTATGTAAGTTTTTACTAAAAACAGTAAATGTTTATTAAATATTTAGAAGAACTAAGAACTAATTTTCATTAATAATAATTTTCTTGTTCAAATAGAGTTGATATAATTAACACTACAACACAAGGTTTCCATTGTATAATTAATTATGAAATAAATTAAAACTAATAGTTACCATTAACATGATACGTATAACTGTCTATTGTAGTTATACTGTATCTAATAGGAAAGTATTGACCATGTAATTGATAATATGGGTGTGTGTAATTTTATAGCTAACTAGGTAATTAGTGGCTACTAACATGAAACTCGAGAAAAAATGTCTGTTTGTCACAATAACGCGAGATAAGTATCTGAAAAATTCAACTTAAAATTATGTTTATCAGCTTTTGTATTAATATTTCATCAAGTACTTACAAGATATGTCATCTTGAGTTCATGATGGATTGCTATGAAAAGAATATTATGGTGTATGGGTATCTCCATTGGACTCGAAGTTATACAGGGTGTTTTTAGCTAAGGTTTGCTAGATTCAACTCTTAAGTTGGAAAAAGTTGTTAATTCAAATATTTTTTGTAAATATATCTTTAAATTAACAATTTTCGTACTTTGAAATCATCTTAATCAAAACGTATTTGAATTTGATAAATTGAAGTAATAGGGGAAGGTGGGGGAATTCTGCGCATCTAAGCAAAATCTCTAGTATCTTTGTTAAGTTTAAATGTGAAATTTTGCAATTAATACCAGCGATAAAGAACTATGTTTACTATGTGTATATAATGCGCAATTTATAAAAAAAAATTGTTTGGTATGCAAAAACTACATTTTTTTAAATACGGAATTTGCGCAAAATTACCCACCTATCAGGGTAATTTTGCGCATCATAGGGGGAAAATTTGCGCTGTATAGAGAAAGATTTGTAGGTATCTAAATAAACCGTTTATTTCTATAATATTATTATATTAAAACATAAAAATAAAACAAAACTATTTTCTCTATGAAACAAACAAAATCAAAAATAAATAACTAAAAATAAAATTTTTGTTCTTAGAAATAAGAGGAGGGTCTACATGCAGCAGTTGTCACATATGTAGTTTTAGGGGTTGTTTTTTTCGCTACACTCCGCGTGTGCCCAAATGGAACTGTTTATGCTGAACAATCTAAGCTCCCATATTGGCCAAATTTTGCAGCGCAAAATTACCCCAATTTTTCAGCGTAAAATTACCCCCATTGCTAGAAAAATATTGTGATACTAAAAAACTTTCCAAAAGTTAAACATACACCAGATTACGAGGAAAGATCATATAAAGTTGTGTTATAAACATTTAAGCGATTGGACAGAAATTTAAACTTAACTCGTAGCGGAAACGACATGGATTTCTTAGATCAACGTACATGTATCACAGTTAGCTAGTGACCATGGTCACTAGCTAAAAGCTACAAGCTTAATTGCGGCACACTTTATTCCCCGTTTACCCAAAGCAACGTTTCCAAGTTTGCAACATTCAAAAAATGTATTATTTACTTCATATCTGGAAGAATTGTTTATGCGTAAAATTACCCACCGCGCAAAATTCCCCCACCTACATCATAATTAATGTGAACAGTCATTTCAAGAAACGATAATACTCATTTTACTTATCAAAAAAGGAACTTACAATGTCAGTGTTTTTGATGATAAAGATTCATTTTATTGTACTTTTATCATAACGGAGCCCCAAATTCTAGTAAAAACGTTTCAGGAAGTAACAGTATTTTCGAAAGAGGACAATATTTTTCGAGGTAAATCTACCTACCTGGGTTCATAGTTCCCATTGCGAAGGGCGAGCTGCCTTGGTACATGGGCCCAGGCCCGGCGAATGGGTTGACCAGTCCCTGATGGGGCCAGTTGGGGTGAGCAGCTTGGTAAACAGCTGCGGCTAGGGCTGAGAAGGGCGTCGGTCTGATGGGGCCCTGATTTAAAAGTGTCTCTTTCACGAATTCCCTTTCGCGTTGCTGCAGAATCGAGTCATTGTCTTTCGTCGGGCTATCGTCGGATGACTTTTGATCGGAGTTGAGGTCCTCGACGTCGACTATGGAATCTTCTTGGTTCGAATCGTACTCTTCATCGGAAGAATGATGAACCGGGGTGGAGGAGTTGTGAGATGTCGGCGATGAGGATTTTACAGGCCGGGTGTCCGCTAACAAAGAAGCAACACTGAAACTTATGTGTCCGTTTTTGCTGACCGATTGCGCATTGTTGCTGGAGTTTTGCATAGTAGTTTCAGCTTTTTTATTGTCTAAACACTCCAAATTTTGGATAGTCATAATTTGCACACCTTGTTGATTTTTGATCATCAATCTAACACATCAACAACACCGATAGCACGAGATCATTTTTTATCGCGTTAACACAGTTATTAAAATTTTAATTACAGTTATACACCGTCTAACGCATTAAGATGCCCAGGCTAAACTGACCAAACAACTAACTATTGTGAAGTCGCGATTATATGCGCGGGGCGGGGCGATGTAAAGGCGTTTCTACACTGGAACGGCCCACCGTTTAGGCACCTTATTACACAAATCAGCCAATGGGCACGTCCCATCCAGAACAACTTTACAGTCGGCCAAACAAACCCAACAGCTGTCATTTCTTGCGGAAAGCAGTCGCACTCAAAACCTAAATGGGCGACTGTCTCGCTTTTATGTTTCGTTTTCTACACTTTTCGTTATTATTACTGTACACTTGTTTATGATCGCTTCAAAAAGAACCTCTCAAATTGTTATAACTTAATTATGAAGTGGAGAAGATGCCCGCGTTTTATTGGGCCTGTTAATTTTTTATGAACCAATTTTTATTTTCCGAAATTATTTTTCTCCACCCTTCTTCGGCCGGCTTAATTGGTTTAATTGTACACTTTCGAGTTTTACTGCCTCTGTTTCGCACACCGATATTTCATCATGCTAAAAGGAAATTATTTTGCTGATTTTTTGCTAGTTAGTTTTAATTGATTTCGAGAAATTTATAATTGCTACCCAAGCTTTGTTCTGTGTTCCTTGTTATAAATGCAAACATTTTCCAAAAAACTATAACCTAAAAAAACATATTTATAGTATGTTTGGCAACTATTCTTAGACTAGAAAGTAGGAAGTAATTACAAAACTAACTAAAAAAAATACAAAATTTCTGAGTGCAAACGTACAAATTAAAAATTACAAGAAAATACTAAAAAAGTACGAAAGAAAAAAATAACAACAAAAACAAAGAGTAGGTATGAATAAAAATATTTAAGGTTAAGATTCTTTTTTATTACACTTGCAAGAGTTTTACAGAAATAGTAAATAAATTGTTAACTTAATTATGAGACGGTACCATAAAATAAAATATCAATTTTTAGATGACTCAAATATAAAAATATTCGATTTTAAGGTTATGTTTGCACAACAATTTATTTTTTGTTAGATTTATTAAAAATGTACAAACTCAAATATAATAGTATATTATGTATCAAGTTTTATAAACGCCATTTTAGTTACAAGTTACAAAATTTCTGGGTTTTATAGCTGAAAATGTCTTTAAAAATGGCTGAAACATACTTTTGGCGGTGCATCATATAGCTTATAAAAACTCTGACTTTTGACATTTTGGTATTATCACATACTTCCACACATATACAAATCATTTCTAACTGAGACTGTTTCCATTTCGTGGGGGTAAAGTAGGAGAAATGTTCTCACAGGGTAGCGGGCATTGAGGCGCATGCGTCAGCTGCATTGCCGGTTTTTAAAAAAATAACATATTTTTGTCCCTATTTAAGAAGTATAATAAATACTTTTTAATAAATTGGATGTAAATTGTATGAAAAAAGCATTTAACAATAATAAACTCACAAAATGATGATATTTTAGATTTTATAATGGAATTTTACAAAAGCAAAAATTTGGCAACATCGTATTTTGATCACGATTACAGCCAAAAGATTTCTATGGTAGACATATAAATATGTAGATGGTTATTATAATTATCAATTTTGTTTGTTTTCTGTTGTATACCAATTGTTTTGGCATTGTTTTTTTCCATTGTTTTTACGAGATTTTAGTGGATTTTACATAATATGCATATTATGCCACTTTTTGCTTTTTATAAAGCCAAATCACAAAAATGTTTGTAAGCTTAACCCAGGCTATGGAACCAAATAATTTAGAAAAATTTTATATAACCTAAATTTTATTTAGTTGACAATTCGTATCATAAGTGGACGTATTAATTTCTCTATCTAATGTTATGTGATGTCTATGGTATCATATATTTTAAATCCCCCACTTATGAACTGACTATGCGCATAAAGGAAAATGGCACACTACGAGAACAAATTTCCCCTTAGAAACGGGAACAAGGTCATCTATACAAAATATAGGCAATAAGCGGTATATGTGTGGAAGTATGTGGGTATTATTCATGTAAACGCCATCTATCGCCCTGTAGTTTCACTACCACTTTCAGTGATTTTAGCATCACATTGACAACCGTGCCCGATCAGCTGATTGATGACGTGTACGTCGTTTACTTTTGAATTTACTATAGTTAATTGTGCACCAACAAATATACGTACCAAATTGGATCCTTTGGCAAAACATGAAACATGAAAATGCAATGATTTAGTTCTTGAATTACATTTTCAATTAAAAACTTAATATTTTACCATGATCACTTAGATAAAATACACGCAATAACTTCGTAAATTGAGATCTAGTTTTAAACCGAAGTTTTATAGTTTTTACTTGCAACGCGAAACACAAATAAAGTGCGCGATTTATCTGTGCAATTGAACAAAATTTGTCGAGTAAGACTTCTGCCTTCCTCTCTTTTGTAAAAAAATACTTATTTATTTAAAGCTGATGTTCGTATGCTTTAAGTGTATTGTTGACAATTCTTGAAATCACACAAGGCTATCGAACACCACCAGATGGCGCGCGCGTTGCAAAAACCCTATGCTTCTTTAGCGTATATCCCTAACAAGCTTGATAAATGGCATTTTAGTGACGAGCTTTTATTATAATTAGGCACGAGCGAAGCTTTCAAGACAGTATTTAATAAACGAGTGCCTAGAGAAGTTTATAATACTATACTAACTATAAAAATAAATAAACTCTGTCATATGTCAGACTGTATGACATTAGTTTTAGCTGTGTAAAAACTTGTTTTGTTTAAATACTGTATTAAAAAAGTCCTAAAACTGCTGTTACTGTACTGTACTACTAAGTATTGTATAAAATTTACAGTAGTACTGTATAAGTTTATATTTTATAATTATCCACTGCATAGTGAATTCCTGCTCTAAATTAAGTTAACAACACAATTACAAATACCTTCTTAATTAACAATGACTATCTATTTGAACAGTTTATAAGGCTTTAACAACTTCCTAAACCCATTTGTCTGGCAGGGTACCTGAATATTTTCCAAAACATTTACTATGGAGAAAATAAAGAGCACTTCCCATCCCCGCGCGCAATCTTAAATCTTGATTAATATGAGGCATTAAGCAAATAATTCTGCAAAATTAAATTTCGTGCGCAATTTCGTAAAGTTAAAGCCATGTTAATCCTCGAAACAGTATTCCGAGCTATTAATTAAACGCGTCTTTAAAAGTGGAAGCAATTAAACAAAGCTAAAATTAGTTATGGTCCGAGCACAATTCCCTTTGTACGTCAAGTCCCGAAAAAAATGTCGCTTATTTTTTGCTTGTTTGTTTGTTTGTTATGCCTGCATTTTATGATTATTTTTTCTCTTATTTTCAACGTCGTTAAAAAAGAATTTACATATATATTAATGAATATGTCTGCATTTATAAAATTTTATTCTGCTAAAGAACCAAAACTGTTCAAATACCCTGCTATCTAATGTTTGTTGTAAAAATTGCATAAATGTTCCTCAAACTCTTCTAAAATGCCTAAAAACTGTCTGAACAAAGTTTAAACATTTATAGTATTTAAAAATTAAAGAACACATTTAAACGCACTAAAAAAATAAAATATTTTAATTTACTAACAAAATGTGCTTTTAATAAACTTTCCTCTTCTAAATTACAAGTTTACTATAGGCCTTATACTTTTTGGTTGGTTAGTTATATCCGCCATATTGTAATTATAAACTGTCTATAAACTATTTTAAAACTGTCATAAAAAACAGTCAAAGAGTCAACTTAAAACTATCTGAAAACTGTTTTAAAAATGTCCTAAAACTCTAAAAACTGTTTTAAAATTGATTTTGCGTTCATAATGACTTCATGCTTTCGGTGATGTAATGAGATACTTTATCCCACCCAAAATTTTGATTTTATAGGTTGGCTATACTTTAAACAGCATAATATTTTGCATATTGGTTATAATATTTTTATGATTTTTCTAGTACTTACGAGACTTTTCTGGCAATAAATTTTGTTTAGCACCAAAGAAAATCCTTTTTTTCTTCCTTAACATTAACAGCCGCTTATTGTAAATGAGTAAATTAAGGACGGCATGCCGCGGCATGGCGAATCGATTTTGACATTAACTGTCAAACCAATGACTGTGATACCAACTATCTTAAGTAAAATTCGACCAAATTAAATTCAAGATATAAAATTAATTTTTTTATAGAATTTTTGCAAAATAGATAAAATATCATTTTTCTTTTTTTTAAATATAAGTTCATAATTTTTTTTTATATATATGTATATAACAAAACATTCAACATATTATTTACATATTATTTGTTGTAAACGGGCAGAAGGACCTAGGTCGATAGCCCTTTGGTTAATCCAATGAAGACTTTTTTTTTTAGCATAAAGAACTCATGTCATAAGACCTTTTGTCGCACTCGTCCATTACATAAATTGTCCGCGTGCGACAAAATGACGTCTTATGACATTTGTTCTTTAATATACTATTATGTCCCAAACGTTTTAACTATTTTTATAATGTCTTATATCTGTCTATATTAAACACTCGCTCGTGCTTAATTAAACTCGTAACTAAATAGCGTTTATAAAACTTGATACATAATACCTATACTATTTTCTATAGAAGTATACTCTCACCTTTAAAACGTACATGTTTCCATGACACTAAGTGACCTTTTAAATACAAATTGACAAGTTGTGGCTTTACGGCGCTTTAGTCACGGGCTGAAGTTAGCAACAGGTTTTTAGTCACGGGCTGAAGTTAGTTTTAAGTTGGTTGACAGTCAAATGTCATACAATCGTTAAAATAAAGTGCCTTTCTTGTAAAATAATACAAAATGTGAAAATTATTTTATTATCTCAATACAAAAATACAAAAATATTAAATAGTTTCTCAACGCCAATATTTGAAAAGTTTATATAAACATTGTACTTACCTTTTAATTTCGCCGGCAGTAAACTATAACTTAAATTCGGGCACGGACTCTACTGTAAAGTCCTCATAAAACATTTTCTGTGGAAAAC